GATATGTTTTTTAGGATTTTTTTTGTCTCCTGTCATCTCCTCAGAGTGCTCCCTCATATCTGATCTAGGATTTCCGGAACAAAGTCTTAGATCAACTGTTAGGCGCTGAAATTTTAGCCGCTCGCCACCTACTAAGATGGAAATCTGAGACGATCCTCATCGTGAAACACAGAGAGCAGCGGGTCAGAACTGACTCAAAAACCATTCGGGTAACTGCTCTTACATTTTATTTTTGAATATGTATTTGCTGCACAATTTTTGAAAAGGGGCTAAAATAAAAATTGTGACGATCCACGCCGCGGAAATACAATTAATGCGTCACGATCACCAGCCGGTGCTTACTTTGAAGAGAAATGAGGAAAGAGGATAAGCAGAAACGCATTACATCGCCGCAGAGCATGCATTACGTGGCGACTCATCTATAAACTTGATTTTGCTCGCAGTTGAGTACAATAAAAGTTTAGGATGGTTATGAACTGTTGCTTATACGATTAGAACCAATAAATAACTCTAAATCCTTAGAGAACGAAAATGCGCACATTTTCTTCCATTTACTCCTCTTTTTCGCGTGCTTCATACCAAGAAATCTGAAAGCGCTGAGCTTTCGCTAGGCAACCTTTGTCTTGATGTTCAGAATTTCAAATGAGAAAGCCAAAAAGCAAATACCACTCACTTATACTGTATTCGTTCCAAATGTGGATCATGTCGAAGTTTCTTCACCAAAATATACAATATTCGCGACATTATTACTATATTTACCTAGAAAAAATGTCATTTGCTTAAAAAAGAAAACGTTTGAAAATATGAAAACGACTTACTGCGAGTGCCAATAAACAAGGGACCCTTATAGTGGCTTCAACAAAACCGTTTTCCGTTGGTTCAAACCAGCATTTTTCGTTGTTGTAAAATAATCGAAGCAAGCCATACATGATGGAGATGACCGCTGGCACACCTTGAACATGCAAAATTACGCTCTGATGATGTGATTTTTGGATTTTTGAAGCATACCCCAGCAAAGTAATTTGTAGACGGTCAGGCTGTCACCATCGGCACTATCACTTTGTAAAAGACGGAACAGATAGACGCCTTCGGCCAGCATCCAACTAAAGGTGGCGAGTCGAAGGTAACGCAATTGGACCAGAAACAGGATACGGCAAACAATCTGAATCATTACAACTTGATTCTTACCCACCTATATTTCGCAGAAATGTCTTTGGGGAATCGGGAAGGAGGGGAAGGGGGGTAATGTGACGCAGATATTTTGCGGGTTGAGATTTCGATAATTTCAAACAATTTTCAGTCATCTGCAATTACTACCAAAAGTTCCAATTCTAGAATTGGTAAGGTGCAGGAGGATGACCAGCAGCTAAACTTGAACCATTATCGACAGGTAACTAATCCAGTGCAATTACAATGACAATTTTTTTTACTAACAACGAGATAAATTATATTTTTTCAAAAATCATGGGTTTTCTCAACTTTTCACGTATCATAAGGGCTCAGTCAGCACTAAAAAATTTCTGTTACGATGACTTTCTAAATTTTGTTGAAAAAATAATCTGGACAGTCCGAATCCCGGTCACATCGTGCCCACTATTGCAACACACCCACTTCTTTTTTCTTTTACATTGTCTTTCTTTGAAGTTTTCCAAGAATTTGCTAACGTCACTCAACAATAAAGTATTTTGTGTGCTGAGGGCTACCACGAGAGTTTTCGTGTTTCTTCAAAAATTTTCTAAAAAGCGGCGTTCATGCGTATTTTTCTATTGTAATCTCATTATCATCAAAAGCATCGATGTTTTTGTATTGTGAATTTGATCTCAAGATAGCGCTCAATAGTCTCTACTAGAAGTTCGCTAGAGTTCAAAACACTGAAAAAAATGGTAATTTTCGTGGCTTAATCACGCCTATTTCGCCGCATTGACTAGGAAGTGATAAATTGCTAGGTAAAACCCAAAAGTAGAACTGTTATTCAGTGCTAGGCAAAGTGAGCTAGCGTCATACTCATTCGCCCAATAATTCTAGCAATTTTCGCCCACGTGTCGAATTATTGGTCCCCCGTTTGGTTATTGTTGTCCCACACATTCAACACAACGAAAATCTTATGAATAACCCAGCGTAAACCGCAGCAACGGGGACAAAATCACGCCGCATGGGCTATTCAGAACACATCTGCAGAGCGCATACTTTATGCAAAGTTCCAAGGACTATGAATAGCCGTGATTCGAAGAGACAAGGAAGCACTCACATGATTGGCATTGGTTTGACCGAAACCAGGTGAACCCTCGAAGAAGAAGTAGGTGCTGGTGATTAGGTAAAGCAGACCCAGAAGCAGGAACGATATCAACAGATGACGGTGCACTGTGAACATCGGCTGGTGTCGGAGTGTTCTGAAGACAGCAAATAATTTTTAGTAGAAATAAAAAGGAAAGTAGGGACAGCGAACGTAAATTCTTTCGTTTCAGGAAGCAAGATCATCGAGTTTTTTACAGCAGAAAAACATGCAAAAAGCGTGGATATGAATTTTTGTAGATGTTTACAGTTTTTGGCTGAACTTTCTTATCGAAGGCACTTTTGCACTACCGTATGCTACCGTATCCTCATAAAACCTCGACAGACATATGCATACCTTTGCTATAATCTCTTTACATTGCAGCTATTGTATTATAAACCTTTAGAAGAAAGTAGTACACTCTCGGGTGGACGCACATCGCGTTTTCATACGAGTTTCATATTAGCATACTGTAGCGGTGCAAAAAGCCCAAACTCCCAATTTTCACGATATTGCAAAATCTAGGGTCTTTCTTTGGTTCCTACTCAAATTCACCTTATGGAAACTTCTACCCACTAAAAAAGCTGAGTAATTATTTACATGCCCTTCGCTTTATAATAGCATACTGTAGTCGTGCAAAAAGTCGATACTTTGATTTTCCAGGATATTGGAAAAATCTCAGTGTTTCTTCATCCAGCGTATATTTTCACCATAGCAACAAAGAAACAATTATTTGAAACAAAGCTGAGTAACTCGAGTTCACATGCGGCACTGCGTAGTATAATAGTGGTGCAAAAAAAGCCCGTACTCTCATTTTTGCAAAAATTTGTGGCCATCTTCGTCCTGCGCAATTCTGACCGTGGGAACTATGATCACAAAAGTTGATAATGAGTACTTCGAGTCAAGATATAACATGCGCATTCACAGTAGCATACTGTAGCGGTACGAAAAAGCCCGTATTACCAAATTTTCAAAGCATCGCAGTGTTGAACTTGCTTCCGTCTCCGCGTGGTAAATATGAACTTTGTTTAGATAAAAAGCTGGATAATTCGAAATGAAGCGACTCACCGGAAAAACCACAGAATGAATACAGCTGGTATTAGACATACCACACTAATGGAATATGCAATTATACCAGCAAGCAATTTTCCTGCTTTCTCCTGAAAAGAAGATTTATGAGACAAAGAAAGTATGTACTGGTGGGTTTTGTTAAACATTTCTCGACTATTACTGGAGATTATTAAAAATCTCCCCAATTTCTGATCGGGCGCTTGTTCGGGCGTGGTTCTAGTTTTTTAAGTGACGCCCGGTCCGGTGCTTGGCGTGCATGTTTTTATCAGAAAATTAATAATTACCTCCCAAGAATGGTTTATGCCTATGGAAAATTCTTACCAACGATGCCAAAATAATTGATTTCTTTCTTATTTTATGCTATTTCTGACGCAATTTTTCTCCTTTGTTAAATTTTTTGGGAGGCATTTTGTGCTAAGCCCTAGTAAAACTCCGGCTTTTTTTT